ATATTATTTAAATATTTTATAAATATAATGTAAATATTATATGCACATGCCATACACAGCTAACACTTTGCAAAGTGAGCTGTGCTTTTCTGTTTCTTTGGTGCCCATCTTGCAACTCTTATGATATATATTATGACTTATATGCCATGTTTGGAAATAATAATTACCAAGTTATTTTTAGAACTGTTTACAAAATTCTTATATCCCCATACGTGCTTTCTCTGTTATCTGTATGGTATTTCCAGGCTCTCAGTGTTCTAGCTACATAGACAGTTGTTTGCTGTAACCAGAGGAGAAAAAACCTCCACCAGGGTGGTGTGATGGAAAACGTAGGAAAAGGAGTCTGAGGCAAAATGTAAAGGAGAAGGGAGTCATTCAGGCAGTAGCTGATTTGCTTTAGAAATTTCCTCCCTCACCTCATCATCCCTCTTCCTCCTCCTCTCCCCATGTACCCATCATGTTTGTGCTGGTACGAGATGGAGTAGGCTCATGCTAATCAGTTAATCAGCTATTTTCAATTCAATTCCTGTCTGTGCTTACCACAGAAAATTAACAGTCCTTGTGTATAAATATGACCCCTACTCCTGGATTAATTTGATTATGTGAGAATCTCAGTTTTCATTTAAAAATAATAACTTTCTGGCTGCTCTGATAAAACAAGTTTGGATATGTAGTCTAAATATTCCCTAATGGTTTCAAAATCGAAAGATAAATATGAAGAACATATGAATCTCTTTATAATAAAAAATAAATATCCTCAAATCTTTACTCTGATCGCTTGAGATTGAATATTTTGAGACCAGAACATTTCCGATTTTGAGTCAGTGCTGGATCAGCATTCTCTGAAAGCCAAATCTTTCTTAAGCAGCTTAATTTGGGTCCACAAATAGAGAACTCATGTTCATTAATGACTGTGGGTATCTTAACCTAGAGTTTCCCTTGGATATCGTCACTTACGCAAAATGCCTTGTGTAGGCTTGCTGTTGCTGATTTCATTGTGGTACAACTTCCATTTCATCTGTTCTACTTGAGAGAGGATTTTGCCTATGAGTGACTGGCTGCTCTACATTAGAGCAGTGCTTTGATTTTGCACATGCAAAAAAGAAGCACAAACCTCAGCCTCTAATCATTGCAAGTTTTATTCTCTTAAAGGTCTGATACGTGCTATAACTTTTGTAGCAATGGCTTTATTAGGAATCTAGCTTAATGGCAGTGAATTTTTATTTAACTGAACTTTACATTTCCTCTGGCCTGATGGCCCAGGGAACAGCAAATCTGCTTAGAACCAAAGTCAGGCTAGTTTGAAAGGAAGTATTTTTTATAAAACTTCCTCATTGGAACATCTTCTGTTAAATTTATTTATTACAGGTGTGATACCACTGACATACATAGAACTGTGAAGATAAATGAAGTGTATGCTAATAAATTAAAATGTGCCAGAGAACAGGTCCAGGCACTGAAGTTGATTGTCCGTGTGGGTAAATTGCTAGGATAGGATCTAACATGATTTCATAGGTTAATTAACACTCTCAAATAGTTTCTAGATATGACTTGTTTATTTTAATAGTTTACTAGTGCAGAAACAGCCTAATCCGTGTGTGGACAAAACTTTACTTGAAGTTAGAGAATCTTTAGCAAAGGGCAATTGTAGCACTATGTTAGAAACTGTTGAGGGATAAGCTGCAGAGACTGAAAAATCTGAAGAAAAACTGAGGACCTGTTTAGCAACTTCTGATTATCTTCCCATACATTATGCTGTTTCACAGATACAGAGGATCTGTGAAGGATTATTTCTATAAAAAAACCAAAGAATCTAAGGAGGGCAGGCTAGGCACTGCACCAGTCTAAAGCAGACTTTGCCTGAAGCTAAAGTTGAATGTTAAGACCTCTAGGATGTGTGCTGCTTTCAGCGCATGCTAGTTCTGTTCAGAAGGGAGCAAAGTACGTTGCAGATATCTCTCAGGCTTAGTTTGAAAAATGGTAGAGAGTTTTTGCAGTTGAGGATGGAGCAACTTTCGGCAGTTTTCACAAGAAGTCCCCTGTTGTTTGTTTGTGAATTAACATTCCTGAAAATGCTGCCAGCTTGAATATCAGTAAAAGAGGAATAAAAAATTCATTCCTTACCAATTGGCTTCCTGTTGAAACCTTGAGGATCAAGAAGGTTAAGAAAATGCATAAAGACATCCATGTCCTCCCAGTTTCCAAATGGCTGAATAGTGTTGTAGTATACTAAAGGATGAACCTTGTCAAAAATGTTGTTTTCACCATTAGGAAGCTGAAGTTAATTTCTTATAGTTCTTTTATCAGTGTTCCCTGATAATCTTTGCATGCCTCTGTAACATGAGGTTATATATTATTTTTTGTAAGTCCTTATCTCTGAAATGATGATGATCTTGGAAGAGTAATTTGTTATTTCTGTTGGCAAGTTACAGGGAAAGTCCTCCTAATTTTTTTCTTCTGGGGCTACTCAATCCAATTAGTCTGTGAGAATTAAAGCTTATGATTTCACAAGAAAAACTGTTCTCTAAAAAGCCCCAAAGTGCAGTGTTCTTTGAACATTGCCATTGTTTAGACACTGTTTATACTTCTGTGCTGATACTTTTGTCCTAAGGTTGAATGTAAGTTTTGTGAAAGTCCTTTTTTTTGCTGTTTAGTGTATTTAGGCAAGGTGCAGGGAATACTAGAAAAATGGTAAAACAAAGTACATATGACAAGAAAATGCATTATCTGGCTATGATCTTCGAAACAAAAGTATAAAGACATTGGAAGACAACTTGAGAACTCTGAAAATATTACTTTCATTCAAGCCTGTTTTACTTCTAAAAGTTTAATTTTAATATATTGAAAGCCTCACCATTTCAAATGCTAACTATTTCATACATCATGTATGTCATCACTCTTTAAATGAAGGCAGCTATCTGGAATAGGGCAGAGTTAGTTGATTTGATCTTGCATGATGTTTCATAATTTTTCTGACTGTTCACTCATCTCGGATGGCTGTAGATCATGTTAGTAATACAAGCTATAGCTAATGAGGTTAAAACCTTGTATGGCACTGGTCATAGTACTCCCACTCTGGAACCTCCCAACAATTTCCTTCCTAAAACCCCTCTCTTGGCTTGTGAGGTGTGAACATTCAATCTTCCCAAATGCAAACGATTGACTCCATGGCACTTCCTGCTCCAGTGGCAGATAACCCTGATTTTCCTTTCTCATTGACTGTTGATAAATGTTTGATGCCAGCTGGGATTAGTACTGTGCTATGCCTCCCTGCTAATGAAAAATATTGCTTTCAGAGAACTCACAAGGCAGTCCCATGTTCTTAATTTGACCTGGTTTATTCCTCACCAGTTTCTGTTCAACAGGAAATAAAATAATGCACATGCTGAGAAAACCTCTTGGTTTTCTCCCTGGAAAGTATTTTGTGTACAGAAACCTGTATTTTAATTTCAGGCAATTTTCTTTCTGCTATTGTTGAAATAAATCTTAGTGATCAAGCAATGAATGTGGTCATGCTAGTGGAAAGGATTGGAAATATTCTGTTGTACATCTGTGTATTTTATTTTATTTGGAGGTTGTAGAGCTCTTTTCCAGGTTATAAATACAACCCTTTGAGGTTATATGCACAACTCTGATTATACAGTAGTGATAAGCCTATATTATTACATTTTCCTTATGCTGAGGAAAGTACACTGGGATGAAAAAGAAGTGCATTGGGATGTGAAGAATGTATTGTTTAGTTTGGAAACTGAGCAGCTTCTAGTCCTTGGGAGCCATCTTGTCATGGAAGGAGTAAACCCAGGCTTCTACTACTTTACTGGATAGAAATAATCCTTATGAGCACCAGCGATGCCAGAATATTGCATTTCCCTGTAAGCTTTGAATTCCTTAAGACTGAAAGTCTCATTCTTGATTTGGATTTTGTGCAGTGCTTTGCATAGGTGTTCTGTCTTATGTCCTCCTGTATGCTTGTGTGAGGATATATAACTTAGTCTTAAGCCTCAGCTCATGATCCTGTAGCTCATCCATTTGCTTCGGCAGGCCCGATTTCCCAGATCCCAGCTGCTCCGTAGAAAAGATGGTATCTCACCTGTGAGTAGGTAGCCATGGTGGTGGAAAAGGACTGTTTACTACAGTAAACTTCAAATGGGCCAACTTTTCAATTTCCATTAAAATAGTGGGTGATATTTTGCTAATTTTGTGTCATGCCTCAAATTTTCAAAGAAAAATGGAAGAAATCTGTCCAAAACATAGAGGAAGTGTCCTCTGGGGAAAACATCTCCATTGCAGAGACCTGGTGGAAGATGGAAGGTGCTGGGGCCGCTGACTCCAAGTCACTGAGGGCTATTGCAGGATGGGTTTTGTTTTGCATTTTGTGCGCCTCTCCCCTTCTTCATTAAACATTGGTTAATGGAAGAGCAGTTATGTTTGTTCTGTTACTGTGGTTTCCAATGGCGACAGTTATTTAACAGTTTTAAAACAGCCTGAAGAGTGACGGCTGTAAAGGACAAACTGTCATGAGCGGGTATGGCATTACAGTGTGTTGGTAAAATGTTCATTTTAGCGAACAGATTGCTGGTTGTATTGGGTGTAAATGTCCAGGTTTTGGTAGTGGGAGGGTTGCAGGGGTGTCCTCTTTGAGGAGGTAACCGGGGTTGCCCTGTGTCAGGCCCAACTGGATACAGCCAGTTCTGACAAAATGTATGTAATAAAGGGCAAAACATGGCACAGCAGTGAGGAATGGGGAAAAAAATGTGAGACACAGCCTATAAGCCTGAAGATCAGCCAGGAAGGTGAGCTAGGGGAAATGGGAGTGGGGGAGTAAGGTGGTGGTGTGTGTGTTTCTCACTATCCACTATTCACACTATAGTGAATTGTACAGGTCGGCTTTCAAAAATCTGACTTCAGGTTTCAGTAGAACTGTAAGAAAAAAAAACCTGTTGGTTTATGCAAAGCGTATATTCTGTTACATTTTTACTTTTTTTTTTTCCCCTTTCTAGATAAACATCATGTCAATGGAAACAGAATGGTAGAACCTTTCCCAGAGGGAACACAGATGGCTTTATTTGGTAAGACATCAGTTTTAAAATAAAAGCTCTAAGCTGTATAATGTTACTGCCTGCCAAATTTCTTAATTTCAGCCCGAGTCCTGAGAGTTTTATATTCTGGGCTGCTATTGCCATTTTCTAATGACTACAAGGTGATTGAGAGGTCTGTACCCCAAAAAAGGTATACTAAAAGTATTTTTCTTAATTAAACAAACAGAAGTTTTGAACCCATATTTTGTTCCATAAAAATTCCCAAATTGTGTGATAATTCCAGTAAGATCATTTATTACTCCAAAAACTATCTTATCAATTGATGACTGCAAAGAAACATAGCTTTTGTATGTAGCAAATGTTTCTGTAGTTACATGGCAGAAAAGGAGAAAGGGTTTGTGGATGACACTGTTCAGTTGCGGTCATGATTTCTTCAAGTTCTCTTCAGAGTTCCTCTAATCCACTATTGTCTTTCTGCCAGTATCCCCTTGTCTGTGGGTTTTTGGAACATAAAAGAATTCTTGGAGGTGTGGAATAAGAGACTGTTTGATAAATTTTTTTGCAGCTAATAGAAAATGATTGTATGTTGCTTTTTAGGTTTTAAGGTCAAGATGTATTTAGAGATTCTTCTTGGAATTTCTTAGAGCAGGCAGGGTCAGAGAGTTCTGGTACAATCTCAAGTTGATGAAGTCTTCACTGTTTAAAATCTTGTAAAGGTCCTCCTTTATTTCCTGTGGGATGGTCAGATCAGTTTTCCAGTCCTTGTGGTGGGTATTGGTGTGAGTGCTTCTACTGGTTATCTCACAGTTAATTGGACATGATTTCTAAAATTTCATAGAAAGGAATATCCTACCTATGGAATTTTATTGGAAGAGCACAAAATCATATTAAACAGCCTACTTTGAATAATTCCTGAGCAACTCTATTATATTCATATCAAGCTTGGTAACTAATAATTTTTAAATTGCTCTAGGTTTTCCACAAGACTGTGATTGCAAATGTTGGGCTAGGTGGTGAAAACTCATGCTGTTGCCATCTGTGCTGTGAATAAATGGAAAACGTACATGTTCTTAGGTTTACTATTAGACCTGAAATATAATAGTATACAAACATGACTCTGATGATAATTGTTGTCATTTGTTGGCATTGACATCACGTGCTGATATGTAATATGGAAAAATGGAGCTACCTGTTGCTACCTCCAAGGGGGCAGCATTTGCTGGCCCTGTGTGGATGGGAATGAAAGGAAGCGCTCAAAGAAGAAAACAATTATCTGTTAGTAATTCTTCTTCTCAGAGTGTTACTCATCCTATCGTTGTATACTCCTGTTAACAGCAAGTTCTTTGTATTTTTAGGACTCTGTAAGGTAGGGGGAAGAAACTTGAGCTAGTCTGAGCTAGTAGACTTTCTGCCTTCACCTTAGCAAGACAGGGCTTCTCACCCTTCTTCGCCAGAAACACCCCCTAATCTTTTAATTGGGCTTGCACAGGGACAAGTCTCGAAGAGCTGTAGTTACTAAGAAGTAATCCCTCTTCCTTTAAAAGATCTACAAAAGCTAAAAGATGGTAAATAACCATATGGTTTTGTAGATATAGCCTACTTGCTGTGATTTTTTCTACTGCTTGGATAGTTTTAGATTCACCACTAAAACTAACACTATGAAACATAATGTGGGGTTGTAAACACTAATCCTTTTACCTGCTCGCAAAATGCAGTTAGATTGCATTACATAGCCCCATCTTCTGCAAAACATCCTTCAAGATGCTTTTACTGATGCTGCATTATTTGCTTTATGATAGGACTTTTTTGTTTTGATCAAGTACAGGTGAATGCACATGGGTCGTTGTTCTTGCAGGTTTCCCATTTATAACCGAAGCTCATAGTTTTCAAAAGACTGTTAAAATGATCTTGAGATTCTCCAGTTGTCTGTTAAGGACAGACATTCAGCTGCCTAATACACACCTATTGTTCATTAGAATAAAGAAATGCACCCTTGTTTCTACGGTGGTGAAGAAGCTGGATTTCAAGGGTGGGGGTGACTCTTTAATGGGAATCTTTTAATGCTAACCACCCAGTGACCTCTTAATGAAGTTTCCAGCTAATATTGAAGCATTAAGAGCATGGGAGGTACACGAGCACCACTCACAGCCTCACTAGAGACTCAGTTGCTCTATCAAGAATCACTGCGTCCCTTGAAGTAAAGAGAGGGGTGTGTTCCCTAGTTAGTTGACTGAAACTGATGAAACTCTAGATGTTATATGTTTAGGGCTTGTAAAGTAGAAACTATACAATAAATGCCTGCTTTATAGCTTTCTTGTAATTTTTGTGGCCATAGATATTTTCAGTCACAAGTACTTTGCCTGTAGTGACTGATTTTGACCAAAAACCTAACCGAAAGTCAAAACCTAAACAAACATTAGGGGGTTGATAATGTTTTGAAAAGAAGCAATTTAGGGTTTAATATCAGCTTTTGGGTAGAGGTGTAAAAAAGGAAAAGAAATGCTTCAAAGCTGCAGAACATATACATCATTCAGTAAACTAATATGTCCATCAGTGCCGTTGTAATTCCTTGCATATTTAAAGCACATTTAAACACACTGCTGTATTTTGCTAAGAGATATTTCTGGTCAGTATTTAATACTTTTAAATGCATATATTTCTTATCGAGTACTGCTATTGGAAGACTCCCAGAGCAGCTATAAATTCATTCTGCTTCATATGCTATCTTGTTTCTCTAAGAGGAAGCGTTGTGTGTATGGTGTGTTCATAGAAGGGCTCTTACTTACCTATAGTAAAATCTGGCAGTAGTTCAGATACGTAATTATAACACTTTTTAAATACAGGACTAAATTGTGTTGTATTTGCCTGAGATATACTGGCCAGTAATGGGATAATTGGTTCCTTTTTGTAAACAAAATATAGATAGAAGTAGTATGTTAAGTAACTGGTAAGATCTAAGTACAGACATTTCTGAGTTGGCAGTTCTGCTCTGCACTCACTAGACGGCAGCATGTTCTCTATAGTAACTCTATAGAGACATACTATTGTTGTACTTTGAGTGAGTTATTATATCCTGTTGAGACTCAGGTGTAGCCTGTGCACTCCCACAGTTCCCACTGCTTCCAAAGGTTATTTGAAATCTACAACAGGATTACACCGAGATTGCCCAATTAGTGCCAGCAGAGCGAAGAGTTTCTCAGCCATTGCACATGGTGTTTTCAGTTGCCTCTGCATTGTGGCACCATGCAAGACCTGTGTAGCTTATGTGATTGGAAAGCTGAGCTCCTCAAACAAGATCTGCTGTTGGGTGGTTCAAGTCTTTCAAATAAAGGCTTGATCGGGGCAAATTTTCAACTAAAAGAAAATGATTTAAGGTGAAAGAGGGATGGTGTGTTTCATAACTGATCACTCTATTTAGAATTCCTTTTACTTGTTCCTGAAACAGCTACTGCTGGCCATGTAAGATAAGGAAGTGTGTTAGGAAGTCCTGGTCCAACTGAGTTTTCAATTACTATGTTTTTATGATAAGCTCTCTACTCCAGAAAAAGGAAATCATAGGAAACAAAGTTTGGACCGCAAGAGAAATACTTTTTTTATAGACAGTAAAAGTAGAACAATTTTTCTCTGTTGCTCAAAGAAAGGAAAGAAAACTTTAAACCAAAAGGAAAAAAATTTAAACCATGTCAGAAAAGATTATTATTGAAAGAGAATGTAAGACTTCATGATATTGAAACAGGTGTGTGTGCTATGATCCAATTTGTAGGAGAAACATCTACAACAATACTACCAGATGTTACAAGGATCATGTTGCAGAAGATCCAAGAGCCAGAGGGTATGTCTTTCAGAACAATTCATGTTTCTCATGTTAATTCTCTTTAAACATATTGGAGAAGTGAAGGAAGTGTACTAATTGGCTGAATTTATAAAAGACTAAGGCATTAAAGCTGTTCTATGTTCACAAGGTGGTATAAAAATGGACAATGAACTTTCTACAGTTCTGGAATAAGAAAATGAACCTGTGAAGACATTGTATAACAAACAGGGGTTGGCTGCTCTGTCCTTGAACCAAATCATAAAATCAGAACAGTTTGGGTTGGAAGGCATGTTAAAGATCATCTAGTTCCAACTCCCCTGCCATGAGCATGAACACCTTCCACTAGAACAGGTTGCTCAAAGTACCATCCCACCTGGTCTTGAACACTTGGTCCTGTTCTTACCTTTGCATTATTAAAGAAATATATCCTTGTTTCCCATTTTCTTTTTTTATCTTCCAGATGCTGACTTACAGAGAGCATCTTTTTGTTGCCTTTTCCAGAGAACTGAAAACAACCCAGTTCCCTGCCCCTGCTATCTGTTCCTGGTTCATCCTTATTGCGACCAGTGCCTAAACATCTTCTTTGTAATTGCCTGATGTATGATGATCTGGTTTGCTACTCAGAGGGTATGTCAGCTCTAAGCAATTGCCAGGGAACTCATATATATATATATGTTTCTGTTATAAAAGTCTAACCAGGGAAGGCCTGAACTGAAAATTTTCCCCTAAGCCTGTTGTAAAATAAGGTGATAATCACAGAAATAAGTATAATTCTGGGGCCTTTTAAAAATAAAAAATCTTGATATTCAGTTTCTCTGAATGCATATCACAGGCATTACTCATTAAATGCTGGTGATCTGATTTGATAACATCATGCAACAACTTTGTGGTTGTAAATGTGGCCAATCACAGAGCAAGACAGACCCAGATAAATGCAAAATGCAGTGGTCTGCTTGGTCTTTGCCAAGGACATTTCCTGACATTTATAAACACTAATAAAGGACAAAAGAGTATCCCTAATGCAAAGTGAAAGCTGTCCTTGATCAGCACAACCCTTCATAACATTCTTTTATTTCAAAGGATCCACATCTCCTTCTTTTTTCTTCTGAAAACAAAAGTAATGTGGCCTTCAAACACAGTATCTGTCCTTCTCCATCAGGGACTTGCTTATGTTAATTCAGCTTTCTTGAGGTATATGAAGAATTTAGCCATGTGT